AACTTGTATTGAGTATCCTGAAGTTGTTGCACCTTTTGAATTGAAATCTGGTTTAATACACTTGTTGTTAAGGTTTAGTAGTCTTGCAGGTGAGGATCCGCATAAGCATCTGGAAGAATTACAGGTTGTGTGTTTAATACCATTGAAGCCTCAAGGAATCACCGAAGATCATGTCAAGCTCAAAAGCCTTTTCATTCTCACTATAAGGTGCTGCAAAAGATTGGCTATACTATCTTGAACCGAATTCTGTTACAAGCTTGAATGATATGAAAAGAGTGTTCATAGAAAGATTTTTCGATGCCTCAATAGTTGCTTCGACCATAAATAAATATGTGGTATTAGACAGGTTGACATAGAACCATTGGCTGAATATTGGGAGAGATTCAAGGAGTTAATGTCGAGTTGTCCTCATAACCAGATTTATGAGCAATTGTTAATCTAGTACTTTTATGAGGAGTTGGTCAAAATACTCAAGATTCCTTGTTTACTCGCAATTCACATTTTTGAAACCATAAACCCCCTCGATTTAGTGGATTGGTTAAAATACTCAAGAGTCCTTGCGACACGATTCGAGTGTCACTTTCGTTTACTATGTTTATTAAATTCGTTTTTGACTTGTGAGCGACAGCAGACCAGTTCCCTAAAGTGTTCCATCCCTTCTCTCAGGCTATAAGTCTGGAAAGAAAGAAAAAAGAGGCAAATAAAGGACACTCTTAGGCCCAGAAAGGTCCTTTAAAGAGATATATGAAAACATAATATCATAAACCACATAGATGGTTAAAAAATATACGACTAATAAGAGGTATCCATTAATGCTTAACAAGTTTGAGATATGACCTTGAGAAAATTGTCAATACAATACGATAAAAAATGGTCATCCACTCACACAGGTATTTGCACCATGATCCTAGAATATGAAACTTCATTCAATCCCCTCATTCTTAACATTCTTGTAGCAGTTTATACCATTTGTCCAAAATATTCACACAAGAGTTTAAAAAGAAAATTTGAGCCACACATTATTGAAACTATGAGGACCAACCTCAAGAATATCAGTTACAACCTCATCATAACATTCCTGCACTTTACTTTTCTTCGTAATAAAAAGTAAGATTTTCTCTTCAATCCTCTAAAGTTTCTTTCAATAATTTTCTTTTCCTTCGAGAGAGTAGCCACCCAGAATTTGGACACACACTTCTCATCAGCCCGAGAAAGGATTTGACCATTCATATCCCTCACATCTTTTTGATGAGCTATAAGCATTTTGTGCACTTTTTGAAATATACTAACACTTTGATGAAGCTTATATTTTATTAGTTACGCAAACCTTCAACTTATCAATCTTCGCCTCATAATCAAATACCTCCTATTACGCCTTGACAAAATCACCCTTAAGTCTATCTTCAAAGGTAGTTGATTCCTCGTTTGAGGAAAACATAGTGCAAGTCAAAATTTTATACTCGACATTATAAGGAACACACCCCTTCATGACAGTCTTATGCCCTAGAGAACCCAGGTCGACTTTCCAATTGAAATTAACTTCTGGTATCACGGAGCGAAGAATGTAAGGGATCGATAGTATTTTTCTAGGCCTAATAGTATGGGTGTCACTAGAGATCTAGAAGGGTCATTCATATTTTTCCTCTTACATCCAGGCCTCGAACATATACTTATTTCTCATGATCATCGAGCCCCATTAAATTTTGAAAAGGAGTCAATGTGGTTCGAGTTCGAACCATAAAGGAAGAATCATCCATTTTGGCTCATAATTTCTTAATTATTTTCTCTTGCAACATATATATTGTATTAAAAACAATAACAATTGCAATACCTAATCAAAGAAAAACCAACAATAATTACACAATCAACCAAATTATTATGGAGAATACATCCTCAAGGTGCGGGATGGCCAACAAGGTTGAGGTATCTATATGATTTTGGCCCATCATCTTTTCACAAAACTCTCTACTGAAAGGGGTCACAACATTTAAGGACACAAAGAACTCTAATTATATTTAGATAATCCAAATTAAGCTTGGACTGGTCTATAGCTTCAAAAACCATGCTACCTTGTCACTTATCGAAGTGGTCCCCTAACTAACATCATATGAAACTTGGCAAGAAAGGGAGAGTTATGTTTACATCAATAATCTAAAGCTTAGATGGAACATAAACATTCTCGTGAAAGTCCAACTTCAAAAGCCTGACAATCATGCGTCAGTACTTAAAATTAACATGAGAAACAAGTAAAAGGTCAAAAAATTTAAGGCTTGATCAAACAAAACAAAACCTTGACAACAACCATCCAATTCTTAGGAAGGTTGGAAGATGGAGAAGAAATTGGAAAGACGAAGCGTTATATGGTAGTATGCACGCTTATAGTAGAAGGTATGGATGTAAGTCTAACATGCCTAGTGAAATTGAGGATGAGACAAATAAAGATATGTAAATAGACTTCTCTCAAACCCTAAAGGGAAAAATAAAGTCACATCTCCCATAACTTAATGTTGTACAATGAAAACGAGTAATTGAAATAATATAATAGATGATATAAGGTCATTATGGGGCTTGAATGTCCACAACCCATTTTGAGGAATTTCCTACTTCCAAGAAGGGGGTGAAGGAATACCTCCCTACAAGTTTTAAATAAATGGATAGCGTCCAAAGGTAATTAATATGCGCACATGTCCTTAAAGATTACCTTGTAGACCCTTATACAGGTTCGTCTGATGGATAGAAAAATATCTCATCCAGACCTAACTTGTCCACACAAAGAAAAATGGTAATCATATGAAAATGAAAAGGTCATTTACCTACCTTTTCACTTTGCTTAATATGGCAAAAAAATGGAGTACTCCCATTTTATTTTCAAACACATGATCACTCAAAGGAATACTTGTTTTCAAATCACCTCATTCCCAAAATCACTTAGAAATTGGGGGGTGGAACAATAAAGTAAAGCTAGAAACATGGTAGGAAACTCATCGATGGATGAAGATGACAAAGTAATTTGAGACAAATTTTGAAGGAGCAATAACAATGGTGTCTAACTTTATTAAAACTTGCTTGAAACAACAAGAATGTTGAAGAAATATAAAACTCTAGAAAAAGGAACTCAAGAGTCAGAAAAGTTCAAGGAGTGAAAGATGACAAAGAAAAGAGAAATCTTCTTCATATAGGTCAAATGATCAAAATGGAGAAAGCTAAAAGGTCGGATCCAACAACCAATACACAAAGACTCAAAGGATCGTCAAAGGAGCAATATATGAAGGCCACATAACGATGCCAAAAGTGTCCTTCCCCGTGATGTAATCATCATACCTCAAATTCTACAATAATCATTGAATGTGTGACTTAACCTATAACCTTTATACCTATGGCTACAAGCTACATGGAAAAAGGGAATGCCAAAGGTCAAAGGTAGCTTATAACATGTTATGTCAACAAACATGAAATGTAAGCAATCCTAATAACTCGTGGTATATTACCAACTCTTTGGTGCACTTTTGGACTCTTCGGAGAATAAAAAATTAGTCCTATGAAAAGATTGAAGGTTCCATTACCAACAACCTCCACGATTATCAATTTGAGTAAAAATAGATATTTCGTCCTCAATTGAATGTCTCCAACCAGTCTACAAAAATAAATAAAAAATGCCTACCAATCACATGACAATCTTCCAATGAGGCCAAACCATTCAAGAGGGTTTTTCTTCAAAAGAGCCCCTAATATGTTTGTGATCCCCTTAATGTAGACAATCCTTACTTAATGACATGAACCCTTTATTGAAGTTACTTAAATAGGACCTGCTAAATTTCATAGTTGTACTCACTACTTAATGACATGAACTCGTTATTGAAGTTACTTAAATTGGACTTGCTAAATTTCATAGTTGTACTCAATACTAGTAAAAGACAACTTAATCTGAAAAGCATTGATACAAGCCATAAATCGGTTCTGCAAACTACGACTTGAAGAACTACTCTTCTTATTTGGGCCAAAATATAATTCATTCAACATTACAACCCTTAACATTTGACATCAGATAAATTGTTATTTGTCCATCTATCAGGACCATCACATCCATACCAGGAGAATGATTTAGAATATTGGATTCATAAAATGGCCACACTCTAACATCGTAATTGATCAAGGCCAACCAAACACCCAATGTTCGTCGGATCATATGGACACCTAGATCCGACGACGTCATCCCACTAAGACATGTGTCCTCACTCGAAGAAAGTTCTAGTACTTTTGAACCTTTAGATGGTCCAACCCTAATAGTAAACTTGATCAGAGGTAATTGGAATTAGGAGATCATCAAATTGTACTCTACAATATCTGATGATATCCATACTCCAAAACAACTATGACTAGTAGAAGGTTCTAAGGCCTGAAAACTTTAATACTTCACTATAAAAGAAGAGTTGCATATGAGTCTCAAATACACACTAATCTAAAACTAACCACTCATAATACCACTAACTTAATTGTTAGAGTATTTGTACTTATACCTCTTTCACATTAGGCAAAGTTTGAAGATAGTTGTAGCAAAATTTATCATCAAATATATTATCAGCATCATTTTAAAACTTCATTTAAAGAGAAAGGTCCTACTCAATTATAAAGTGTGGTGACATATAGATTATTTAAAAATATTCCATAACTTTAAAAAAGTATTAGCTAATTCATGAAAATGAATGGTTATTTAGGGAATACTTAAAAATATGGGAACTAATTTACTCGAAATAAAGAAACCGAATATAAAGCAAATATGAATGTTGAAAGTTGAAAACCAACCCTTTTGTATTTTATTTCTTTGTTGCTCTTCCTATCATTCCATTACACTGTACATTTTCCTTTACCACATTCTCTCTCTTCTTTCAATCCTCCAAAGTGCATAAAATAGTTTCCAATGCTCTTTGAGAAGAAAAAGGTTGGTTTGGTTGGTTTTGTAGAGTAATGAGAGAGTGAGTGAGTGAGTTAAGTCACAGCACATGGAAGAAGCAGAGAAGGAGTTGGAGAGAAGAAGCAAGTTTCTAAACAGTTTGATACAGAACAAGAAGAAAGCAACACAACAACAACAACAACACCAACAAAAACAACAAGATCAAGAACAAGAACAAGAACAAGAGAAAGAGCAACATGATAAAAACAGTAACATTCATGTCAGAGCTTGTGACATGTCTCTCACTTTGCAGAAACACGCCTTCCAATGTGCACGTGACCATCTTGATTCTAAGCCATCCAAGAAGATTGACAGTAAACATCTGGCATTGGCCCTTAAGAAGGTAACAACTACTTTGAAAATTTTCTTCTTTTTTTTGTTCTTTCAAAAAACTATTTCTGGGTTGTGATATTTGATCCATGATTTGCTAGTTTATTGTGTTGTGATGAAAACTTTTAGTCTTGGATGAAGCTGAAATTGGTGTGTTTTTTATGAGATAATTGATTTTGTAAGAGCTTGATGGTTTTACAGGAATTTGATTCTTCATATGGACCAGCTTGGCACTGCATTGTAGGAACTAGTTTTGGTTCCTATGTTACACATTCTGTTGGTGGTTTTTTGTACTTCTCCATTGATAAGGTTCATGTCCTTCTCTTCAAGACAGCTGTTGCACCATTGAACCATTCATGACAACCACAACTATAAGTTATGCATCCAGATGATATGTAAAATTACGAGTTGAAACATTTACAGACGACATTTTACCTGATAATTTGTGATGTATTTGACTGATGCACTTAAATTTGAAGTTTTTCGCTATTGGTTGAGCACTTTTAATGCAGAACTTATTGTGACAAGTTACACGATATTCGTTCATATGGTTCGGCTAATGAATTTTAACTGATGTTAAAATAATCGCTAGTACTTGAGTGAGATCATCATGATTCAACAATGATGAACATGATTTCTCTGGTTTGTACAAAAAAGAATAGAAATGGCCAATTAATGTTACAATTACAATTACCAATATTGACCAACTTTGCCACCCTTGAAATCCTCAACAAGAGGAACACAAAATTGGGCATGCTACAATCTTATAAAAACTCCATAAACTAGATTCTAATGCTAATTAGGTGAATAATTAATGTGCCTAGTTTTACAAGACAAAAAGTGCACTCAAGAGTAGTGCAAAAATCACATAGCTGGTGAAAAATCCACCATTGTAGTGTTGGGAATAAGAGGCTGAAGTTGTGGAGTTGATAGAAGGGGCTAGTGCTGTTCCATTTATGCTGCTACCATTTCTACCACCACTGTTCAACACAAAGATGTAGATATTAGGAAGAACAAAATATGTGAAAATCGTCATTTTGATATATTCAAGGACTATAATGACAACGTTCGACACACTCAAGCCTCAAAATGATGTTTACTCAACAAAACAATGTGAGAAATTGTAGTGATGATGAGATGAGAATTGAAAAGAATTTCAAGTTTGTGAGGCAAATGAGAGCAAGAAATCTATATTAAACCAGAAAATAATTTGACATGAAGCACGTGTCAACATAAGCTTGAGAATTGAGATCATACCTTCCTGGAAATATACAAGAACCGTGACCTGTAAAAATGATGATAATACGATAAATATATCAGTTGAATCAAAATGCTAAGTAAATTGAATATGCTATTTGTGAATGCAAGACATTCTTCGATTATAATGAGTCAATAGAAAATCACCAATATGCTTACTTGGGTTTGTTGTGGTGACAGAGGCAACTCCTTTGAAATCACAGGACCCGGGAGATTTGCCCATCTTCTGATAATAAGCATTAAACGCATATGTAGCATGCGCAACAACATTATCCGGATCAGCACACGGTTGACCGTGTAGCAAAGGCGAACAGTCCACCTTCCCCGGTCCACAAGCCCAATCAAGCGCTGCCTGTATCATCTTAGTATCTGCATTACTCTTAGCAACACAAAATGTTTGGTTTGTCGTATCGTTTGCAAACACAGTGCCAGCCCCAGTCAAGTGTAGGGTATAAACCGGCGCTCCATTTGCATAAAACAGCCCCCAATTGCTTTCAGAAACCGGACCTGTTCTTAAGTCTTCATTATAAAGCTCGTAAATATACGTACTAACAGTGACTCTAGGTTGTTTCGGAGTTCCCGTATTGTTCAAAACATGCCGGATAAGGTTACTATTGAAGGTGTTTGCATTATCAGGAGTTGCGTCCGGTTCGGACGAACCACCTTTGGAAGGCCATCCTGACTCGGTGACTAAAATAGGGATATTGGTAAATTTCAAATACGACATAGCAAAATAAGCAGCGTCAATAACTGCATCAAAAACATTTGTATAATGCAGGAGGGTGTTGCTATCAACAGCCTCTTTATTCGGAGGTAAGGGACGGAATAGAGCATAATCTAGAGGAATTACATCATTGGATTGCATGTAATCGTAATAAGGATATACGTTGAGCATAAGATATGAACCGGTCGACTGCAAAAATTTAAGTAAAGGAGACATGACCGGATCCCAAGATCGATTGAAAAACGCTTGAGAAGGTGGGAAAGAGTCAAGTATGATGGAAGTAGAAAGTGGAGTAGATACTTTAATTTGATCATCAAGATTAGCTGCAACAAGTGCAGAATGAATGAATTGAAGTGCGGATACAAGGACAGGAGCTGCATTTGGGAGTGAAGTTAAGACTTCAGAACCAACGGCTATGGCAGTAATGTTAGTAGAAGGGACATGGGCTATGATATTACGAGCAACCCAATTCGCAGCTGTGGCATTGGACTGGCCAATTCCGAGTAGCTCATCATTAGGAACAGAAACAATTACTTGGATTCCTGTCTTGGCAAGTGCAAGAAGCATGGATCTGTCCGCGTCGTAGAGTCTCACATGCTGAATGCTTTGAGCCTTGAGAAGGGCCACAGTTTCTGTTGGACTTGGCATGTTAGTTATATCTGTACCAATGTTGACACCTATATAAGCATCTGTAGAAAAAAGAAGCAAGTGAAGTAAGAAATCATTCATAACAAAGGATTATGGATAGTAGTTTCAAGAAAGCTATTGATTTTAACAAAACTTTTGCTTTGATAACATGTAGCACAATTTCACACCTCAATTTCCTGCCATCATTTTCCAATATCCGTCGCAAATATCTTTACTAGTCACTAGTTGTGTTCTACACGTAATTATATCTCTTCTGATCTAACAGTCTAAAGACAACTGCACCATAAAGCCAGCTATAGAGGATCTGATTTGTAATCTCAATTACACATTATACAAGTAGTTCTCTAGAGGTATTATGAAGAGTGAAGAAAAAACAAGAGTGTTCGTATTCGAAAGATACTATGATCAGTGGTGGTAAACGAGTATGCCCGTCCTGTTTATACCTGCTCTGCCAAAGCCCGGGCGGACCTTCTCACCTCTAAAGGCTAATAGTGGCAAAAACTCATGCTCATCTCGTTTAGGCCCGCGTCCGTCAAATTCCACCAAAAAAAGAGGCGGGATAGGCCGGAAAATCTTGGCTCGGCTCGCCAATAACAGTGGGCTAAACAAGTCGGGCTGTTTTTCCACCCTTAACTATAAGTTACAGGGTCTAGCTAACATGGCACAAGTCAAAGAACCTAAATATAGAAAGTTATCATTAAATAACACAAGTTAAATGCACGCATTTTAAGACAAACATTCTACATTAGGCTCTTTAACTTATGCACTTAGGACACAAATTAGCATTAGCCTAAGTTATAATAAGGTCTTGCTAGCAAATGCCATAAGGAAACTAGTTAAGAAAGTTAAAACCCAACATTTCTAAGGGCACTTATTAGCATTTTTCATAATAATATAATACACAGAAAAAGTTCAAATTGTTCATCTAGCTAGAGACATAACCTTGAGGAGAAAAAAAACAGCACAGACACCCACATAACAACAACCTGTATGACAAAAATCAAGGCTAGTTTTCCTGTCATGACATGCAATTCTTGTGTAAATCTTGGGATATGGACTTAGCTACAGAATGTACCACACTCAAATTTTGGCTTGATGGTAGGTTACACACAAGGGTATTTTAGTCCAATCACATTTAATATATATAAAAAATGAAGTTAAATGCAAAGTGTAAAAGAAATATCTGATGAGCTGGGAAGCAATAACTTGCCAAAATCTGACATAAAAAAATGCAAGGACAGATCAAAGATTCTATTTTTATTGCAAAAACCCTTTGTTTTAGCCAAGAAAATAAAATAAAATATTAATTAATAGTCCCTATCTTTCTGTTTCAGCATTGTCATCATGTTCTTGTACCCTTTTCTTCTCAACACAAGTTTATCAAATTCTAATGAACTCAAATAATGCCATGTTCAATGAATTGTAGCTGATGATAAACACAAAATCAACATGATAATAACAAAAACTATGAAACATAGAAAGAAACATATGTATTGAAAATGAGAGACCGGAAATAGAGAAATATAAATAAGAGTTACCTCCATGAAAAGAGAGAGAGATTGAAAGGAGGTAAAAAAGAAGAAGCTTAGGAGTAGTAGCCATTAAAGCTTCTTCTTGTTGCTGTTCTTCCTTGTAAAAGGCACTGCAGAAGTGCCTATAGAAACCCAGAACAGAAAGTAAAGTGGAGGCGCTGCTAGAGTTTTGGAGGGAGGAAAAAACAAAAGAAAGTTCGTACCTTTTTTGAGAGAGAGAGAGAGAGGAAAGGCTTTATTCCTCGTTGTGGTCAAAACTCAAAAACATTGTGTGAGTTTGGTTGGAATTTGAATATTTATTCATGCATTTCTTTTTCTTCTATATATGCAATATTTAATTAATCACATTAAAAAAAATTCTAAAATTATTTGAATTAAAATTATGAAAATTAGTTTTGTGACTGAGTTAAAATAAATATCAAATTTTTATTTAAACATAATTATTTTAGTTCAATTATATCTTATAATTAATATTATTTATATTGTACATGCCAAATATATTTTAAGCTGAGTTGTGTAGTCAGACAAGGTTAAGTATGAATTAGACTACGATAGCAAGAAAAGTCGAACAATGCATAGAGTTAGGTAAGTATCTCCTATAACTCGGACCGGTCACATGACCCGACTCCCATCAGCCGAGCTCCTACAAAGTCGAGTACAGATCCCGTCAACTCGGTACTTATATCGGACATGAGTTCAACCGGCATACCAACAGTTACAACAGTGTCGGTGTATCAATACAGATGTTATCAGAGATTCAAAGCCTACATTCGTGAATGGGATATCTTAATGGAAGACTATAAAAGGAGTTCTCACATGAGGGTTAAGTAAGACACAATTATCATGAAACAATACATAGCACAAGTGTAGCTTTCAAATCCCTAAATATCTCTCACAATATAGACAATGTAGTTCTTCTTATCTAGGACAATAGAATTAACACTTTTTTGTATATCTAACCATTTTTTACTAGAACATATATCACTTCTGATTAAATAATATTTATTTTTTATTTTTTATATATATTTTATTTATTTTTGAATGAATTGAATTAGTTAATTAGACCAATAACTTTTCTCTTTCACCAAGAATGAACCATATCACTTATACAATCATAATCTTCAAATTTCAAAAATCCAAATTGATTTAAAATTAAAAAACTATCTACTAAATCAACTCATGGTGAAATAATAAAGGAAAATGGAGAAAAATAGTCATATTATCTATTAGGTCGGAATTCTCCAAATATTTGTTTGGAGAAGACAGACAAAAAGGATTCACGTGTTCCGTTTTTAATACTTAATGATCAATTTAAATATTTTAAAAATTAATATATCAAAATCTGAAGTAAAATTAAGGAGATTTTATCTTTATTTTATTTATTTATTTAAAATGAATTGAATTAGTTAATTTGACCAATCAATTTAGAGGAGATGAAGTAACACTTTCTTAATTTATAACAATATAAACTTTTGTAAGCAAATATTATGTGTTAAATGCATCGAAATATTTATTTTTAATAAATAAATTGTTTATTGTAAGTCTTGTGTGTGTTTTTTTAGGTGTATCTATATTAGTATTTATTTATTTATAGATGATGAATGAATGTGTGTGTCAGGAATCCAATACAAAGGTCAGAAATTGATTCAAGGACAACGTCTTCAGCCTTTTTATTTTTACTCGATGATGTTTGAATCCCTATTTGTATTTTAGCAGTAGTACGGTAGTGAATAAATAATACTCTCTCATTATTTTAAAAAAGTAAATAATAATGGAAATGTTAACCATTTTCCTTAAGGTATTTGTTAAAAATACGTGGAAAGCAAAGTATTTATTTTAATTTGACGATAAATCGGTGAAATAATGACAACAAACGATAAATGGAAAGAAAAATGATAAGAGGCATTTTTTTTTAAAATAACATGTTTTTTTTTAAATAAATTATTAAATAAAATAAAATTTTAAAAAAATTATAAAAATGACTATATTTTAAAGAGGAATCGTCATATCAAATGGCTGACCAAGATCTCTCAGACCTGATTCGTCATTTCATATGGCGCATGATTTAAAAATTTCATGTTTTACCCTACATTAGCGCCTCAGTTGTAGGTTTTTTTTAATATTTAATTTTTGTTTAAAAAAATATATAAAAATTATTTTTTAATATTTCATACAAAAAAACAATTTAAAAAAATAATAAATTTTGTAAGGGTATTTACGGCATATCATATGTGATTCGTACTATTTTATTTTTCTATAAATAAGACTGTACACTCATATATTTTTTCACAACAATTTTCACCAATAGACTCAAGTCTTCATAATTTTGAAATCAGTCTCTGCATTTCTAAATCAACGTTCATCGTCGTCGTCGTCATCATCGGAGAAACCGTTCCCAACATTTCCTCTAATGAAAAGAAATGTCCTAGTTTATTTTTCAGTAACAAAGTCTCCGATGAAGGTGCTACTGTGGAACACGTAGACTTTGGAGCATTTGCATAGGAAACTGAACCGCTGGCTAGATGGAGATATTGTTGCAAGTGAAAAGATTAGGAAAATTGAGAGGTTGGTTGAGGAGTCGGGAAGAAACGGAGTTACTCGTGATTGGAGAAAAGTGGAAAATGATGTTGGTGTTCTTGCGATGATGTTAACACCAAAGAAGATTACCTTGATGGTTGTGATATCCTAGACAAGTTGATGCATTGTGTTGTTTTATGTGGGTTTGTTGTTGTTATTTTCGGATTGTTATTTTGATATTAGGTTATGTTGTTGTTATTTTCGGAATGTTGTTGTGATATTAAGTTATGTTTGTTTAATTTATGTTGCTGGTTAACTGTAATCGCTTAGTTATGCTTTTAATGGAATAAAATTTGTTGTTTATTTAAAGGGACACAGTTACATTAGAAACTATGATTATGTGTTTGATCCTACATTGGGACATTTTGTACGATTGTGTCCTGGTTGCCGACACGAACTACATAATCTGACCATTTTGTTTGCTGCATCCATCTCCGTTCGAATGTGCGTGCTATTTGGGTGACCCTTTTTCTTTCTTTGCATCAAATCATTATGCCAGACAATTTCGCCTTCGTGTGGAGGCCAATAGTCCTCATTTGCCACCACTTGAAAGCTACATGTGTAGACATTGCATAGACTTATCACTTGGTGAACAACAGAAAGATAGTTGGTTAGGTCATGGCGCGCCTTCGAACATGTTGCTATAACATGGGAGCAAAGCATACGAAATGTCTGAAACTTTCCACAGTCACACCAACTCCTATCCAGTTCCACTCGGTAATATCCGTTAGGCCTTCCTTCATTGTGATCAATTGACTCAGCAACACTAAACCAACATTTATTATGGTAAAAGATTGTGACCACATGTGTGTTGGCTTTGACAGCTTCGTCTTTCACGAATTTTGTTGAACTATTACTGTACAGCTGACCAGATTGTAATACTGAACCTCACTTTGTACCTCTGTTATCAAAGAGTGTCCCGAGCCTAAAATATGTTGCCTTTACCAAGGCAAGTCATCAGTAGGTTTCAGATTCCCTTGAAAACAGAATTCATTGATTCAACGAGGTTAGTTGTCATGTGGTGCCCATCGCACCCCATTATTGTATGCCCTTGTCCATTTCTCTTTATGAATATTATCGATCCATTTTAATGCATATGTGTTTGTCAGCCTGATCTCATCACGGTAGTGTTTGAATGTGGACTCTGTTAGTATATACCCTTTCTTAATGTTTTGTCTTTGATTTTCTGCATGAAAAAAAAGAGACTGTAAAAAGAAAAACAAAAATAACTTCAGTAAAAAGAAGAAAAACTAAAAAAAATGTATATTTAACATTTTTTTACAAAATCTCCTCTAATTTTAATAGAGATAAAAACAAAAATAATCAAAGAATTTCCACTAATACTTAAATTAGTAAAAAATAAATCAGCGCATAAATTCTCTTTTTTTTTAAATATATGTGTGAGAATGAGAATAGTAAAGTTAGAGATTAGTACTCTCTAACCATCTATTTATAGATGGAATAAGTTTTAAGAATCAATAAAAAATCTATTTTAATCTAAAACTTTTTCCAATCACAAGATTTGATCACATTTCAATGTGATTATGTAGTCTTACACCAACTTTATTATTAATTTTTGTTTCTCTATTTTTAAAGCATGTGTCCATTTTATTGGGTTTAACCTATATTTATTTAATTTTATTATTGGTTGCAGTTGATTGAATGTTACTCGCACCACCCTTCTTTGTATTGTCTAATTGTTTTAATAAACTTGCTTGTTTTACAAGTTTTCCTTTACTATGATAACCAAAAGTCAAAAGTATAAAAGATACTATAAGATACATACATGTCATGGCTCATAAGTATGTGGAAATTCAACAATACATATTAAAGGATAAGAGAGATGAATGGATTTAACCATTGTTCTCGACGTGTAGATATTTAAGTTAGTTACATTTGAGTCTAAATTTTTATTTTATATATTCATTTGTTGTATATGAAAGTATTAATATGTTTATTTATTTTTTAGAATTTGTAATTATTTTATAATTGATTATTATATTGTACACGCTAAGATTTTTTTTCTTTTTTTTTTTTACTTTGGGTGTTTTTTAAGAAAATTTTTTAAAGCATTCTAAATATTTTTTAGTCATTACGCAAAATATTTAAATATTTTTATTTTTTGGAGATGCATCTCCTGACACACTCATTTTTAAATAAACATTAAAATATTTTGGAGATGTATTTTTTAAATAATTTAAAATATTTAATACATCTCACGCAGAAGTCATTTACGTTTGAATTATATCGGAGATATATCTCTGTGAATATTTCGAAAATACATCTCCGAAATGTATTAGTACAGGTATTTTATGATATATGTTGTTTATTTGTGTTCAAATGAAGTATAAGGTACGATTGGAAAAGAAATTTAAAAATAGACATACATAATCCAAATGGCCCAAAATGCCATACAAAAACTAAAATAACAATATATGTTGAAAATATCATACAATCGAGATCAATAATGTAATAAGATCGTCAAAATAAAGT